AGATTTCCTTACCCATGAGTCGGGACCCTAAAACATGCTGATTCCAGGTTTGAAGTTTCAAGCCAAAGAAATTTAAACACTGATTCATTCAAGGTCTGGGTATAAATCGTGCTTTATATTTTGTAGGAAAGCTTTTAAAAGGAATAATCACATATCCATGACAACTTAAACATGTTTAGGTAACAGAGTTGAAAATAGACATGTCCACGGGAGAGGGAAAGAGGCACCAACACCCACTATGAGTAGTTGGCAACCTTAGGGTCAGAGTGGCCCCAAGGAAAAATCACAAGAGCTCTGAACACAAGGCTTAAATAAACAACCGGGCGCATAATTAGAGCCACCAGAGCAGTGTCTAGCCTCCCCATAAACCCAGACAAAAACCACTGACCTGCAGTCCAGATTTCAGTGTGAGTTCAAATGCTTTCATCAAAGGAAGGCGTCACCAAGCAAGGCTGTGGAATGTCATTCACTGAAAGCCTTAAAATAGCATAACTTTCCATCTGCCCAGGACCAGAAGGGGCCAAGGCGATGACCCCTGGTTGTTCCCTCATAGTGCTAAGAGGCCAAGATCAGAAAAGAGCCTGGAAAAGCTCAGCAAACATTCTTTCATGGGTTTTGGGGGGGGGGGGGGGCAAGGGGGTCCAGGCTCACCTCCTTCCTCACGGGCGTGCTGTGCGCTGCCGCCTCCTCCAACTGCTCCAGTGCCCGGGGCTGCTCTTCAGTGTCCGGCTCGGCTCCTGGCTGCGCCCCCAGCTGTGCCCCCGCGTGACCCTCCTGGGGCTCGGCCTCCTGCTCCGGCTTCGATTCCAAGTCTGATCCCGATTCGGTCGTCATGGTCGATTGTTCTGCAAGCAGAAAACGGGAAGGGCCCATCACTCGGTGCCATGACCTCCCCCAGGCAGGCAAGAAAGGCAGGAGGTTACAGTGAATGGCTGAAGGAAACCAGCACAGGAAAGATGGAGAAACGCTAAGAACCAAAACACGATCCCACCACACATGCCTAACAACAGCCTTGTCCAATTCACCACAAGGACGGGTGCCCGTCGACGTCTCAAAAGGAACATTTAGTAGTAAATGCTCATTTGGAATGATCACAGGCTTTATTCCTATTAGATTTTTGCCACAGATGACCGTGAAACGACATTACTGTCATAATAATTTCCTAACTTAGATACGTTTAATTTCAGAAAAATGAATTTTCTGAATCAGCTGGAGATACGTTTTAATCTCTGGCAAGGATGACCTAGTAATGGAAACGGATGCTTTTTCACGTTCCCCTTCCCCTTCCCAGGGGCCCTGCTCTGCCCTTCCACACCCATGAATCCATCCATTCTTCTGTGAACAAACACCCTTCCCCTCTGTGATTCCCTTAACTGTTATTCCCTTTTCTTCTTAAATAAATAAATTTATTTATTTTTGGCTGCATTGGGTGTTTGTTGCTGCACGCGGCTTTCTCTACTTGCAGCGAGCGGGGGCTATCCTTCGTCACAGCGCGCGGGCTTCTCATTGTGGTGGCTTCTCTTGTTGCGGAGCACGGGCTCTAGGCGTGTGGGCTTCAGTAGTTGTGGCTCGCAGGCTCTGGAGCGCAGTCTTAGTAGTTGTGGCGCACGGGCTCTAGAGCATAGGCTCAGTAGTTGTGGCGCACGGGCTTAGTTGCTCTGCGGCACGTGGGATCTTTCCGGACCAGGGCTTGAACCCGTGTCCCCTGCATTGGCAGGTGGATTCTTAACCACTGCGCCACCAGGGAAGTCCCTGTTATTCCCTTTTGAATGAGTAACCACAGTACATCAGCGGCTTCTTCGGTGTTGAGGAACCTGTCCCGCACTGGACTGCTGCTGGCCATGGCAGAGGGAAGCCAGGTAGCATCACCTCTCCCGCTCATCACAAGTTCACTCTCAAAGGCTTCTTCCTGGTTCCCTCCTATTTCCCGTGAGTGTTTGAAGAAGTCTGTCCATCTCATATCCCATCAGGGACTCAAACAACAGATCCTGACATAGAATAAGCTGCTCTTACATCCTAAAAAGGATGCCCTAAAATATAACTGCCATCTCCTTATAACTTAGTCGTCAAGACATAAGTATTTTGTGCCTCAGTTTCCACATCTGCCAAATGAGATGTGATCTCATGTGAACATGATCACATCTAAAGAACCTATTTCTTTCTTTTTTTTTTTTTTTTGCGGTACGCGGGCCTCTCACTGTTGTGGCCTCTCCCGTTGTGGAGCACAGGCTCCAGACGCTCAGGCTCAGCGGCCATGGCTCACGGGCCCAGCCACTCCGCGGCATGTGGGATCTTCCCAGACCGGGACACAAACCTGCGTCCCCTGCATCGGCAGGCGGACTCTCAACCACTGCGCCAACAGGGAAGCCCAAGAACCTATTTCTTGCTGTTACTTCTTCCTACTACTAATAGACATGCTGCTATAATTAAAGCCATTAAAGCCATTTTTTGCTTTAAGCAGCAAGAGAGCTGCTATACCAGTGGTCACCATGTCATTTTAAGTAATTTCTCATCTTAGCTATCTGGTAAATATCTCAAAAATGAATCTCTCAGATAATCACATAATTTCCCTTCCTAATTCTAATTTTATGGTAAAAATACCATGAGCAAAGGGCCAGTATAATACTTTAAGCAAATGATACACTCGTTAGTATGAGTAGAATTTTTATGAAAAATAAAGCTCCATAGTAAAACTACCAGTTAGTTCCTATTTTCACAGTACATATTGGAACATGCTTAATAATCTGAAGACGGAAACATTACAAATACCAATCTACCTTATAAACTAAATGTGGCATCTGTGCTTTCTGTTTAAGGTTACTTTTTACAATCACCAGCTATTCTGTCTGTTGAATAAAAGACCTGTCAACCTGGCATGTGCTCAGTTACCCAATGTAAATGTAAATATCAAGTCCAAATGCAAAGCCAGATAGGGATCCACATAAAACTAAAACATTTTCTCTTTCCTTCTTACATTTTAGATTTTCAAGCAAATCTTGAAGGCAGATATGATATTCGCATTTTTATGCTTATGCTGCAAAGTATCAAGTCTACAGGAAAAACAGTGGAGGGGGAGGCAGAGGTGATGATTGTGTAATTCAGAGCCTATGGCTGAATTTTACCTTTTAGGAGGGGGAGGATTAATTTTAATAATCAGTTCAACTCACCCAACCCTTACTGAGTACCAAATATAAGTCAAGCACGGCTCCTGGTTTAGAGGCAGAGATAAATATGGTGTAATCCCCTATACCCTACCTACCTTCAAGGAGCCCAGAGTCTGGGGCTGAAACAGACTCTCTCCAGAATCTATTTTTTCCATCTTTCTTTTAGTAATCAAACTTTCAGTTTCAGCTGGCACGCCTCCACCCAGTTGGAGACGACAGTGAGTTGGGGCCACGTGATTAAGTCTGGACCCATGATACAATGGAGAAAATGTATTCAATATTTAGGTCATCTTCATGAAAAGAAAGCCACTTGCCCTAGATTTCCCTTTCCCATTGTCTGGAAAATACTGACTGATGTCATTACTACAGACCTGATCATGGAAGCCCCAAGTTGAGGAAGACGCTAGAGCCGCCCCCCTCAGCCGGGGTCCCGGGACGACCTCATGGAGAGCAGCCCACCTGCTCTGGATGGTCACACAAAGCAGAATCCTTCTGTCTTGTCTGCACCTCAGTAAACCAGCCCACACTGAATCTAATACACATTCTACAGATTAAAATTCTACCCAAGCACAGACTTGAGTGGCTCCCATCTTACTAAAACACAGTAGCCTTCTCTTGATCTCACATCCTCTGGCAGCTACTACCATATTTCCCTGCTCTCTACTCATAACTTCTCAGAAGTCTTGTCGACCCTGTTTCACTTCCTCATTTCCCCTTTCTCTGCCACCACTCCAGCCTGATTCCATCGGGGTTGCTCTTGTGGCCACTACAGAGGATAATCCACTCTTGCCTGTCCTTGTCTCATCTGACCTCATAGCAGCCCCAACTCAGGTGATGAGACTTGCCTTGTCAACATGATTCAGAACACCCCACACTCACCTGCTTTCCTCCTCTCTCTGGCGACTCCTTTGCATCAACTGTTACAGGTTACTCCTTATCCAACCTCTAAATGTGGGAAGGCCCCAGAAAACTCACTCCTAGGCCCTCTTCTCTTCTCTGTATTTTTTTCCCCAGAGCTTTAAATACTTCCCACATGCCAACGGCTCGCATATTCACATCTCTAGTCCAAACCTCTGTCCTGAGCTTTCAGACTAGTGTCCAGCTGTGCATGGGACACTCCTGACACCTCACAGGCACCTGCTGATTTCTCTCCCCTCAAGAAGTGGCAATGCCATTCGTTCAAGCCAGAATTGCAGAAGTCACCCCTGACATTTTCCTTTCCCTTGTCTCCCTTACTAATATACAACAGGAAGTTTTGCAAAATATTTAGTTTTGAAAATATACATATATATGTATATATACACACACACACACATATATATATATATAAATGTATACTAAAATATATCTTTCCAAAACATATCTTGCATTGGTCCCCAGCCACTAGGCCAGCCATCATTTCTTCCCTGAACTCCTTAAATAACTCCCTTTTCACTGCCTCGATTCCTATCCACCTCTATTCTGTTGACCTTCATAAAACATAAATCCAGTCACATCACTCACCACAGAAAATCCTTTAATAACTTCCCAATGTGCTTGAAGTTAACATCAAAACTCTTAATTCCCCATGGCCTTCAAGGCTAAGCTGAGCCTTCAACACCCTATTGACACCCAGCGGCATGCCCATCCGGCCGTCCACCTGATATCCAGCCACGTGGTCTCGTTCCAGTGTGTAAACCACACCAGGGCTTTGTTCTGCTTCAGGGTTTTCTAGACACGCTGTTCTGTTTGCTGAGAACATTTTTTCCTCTTCTCTTCAAGTACCTGACTCCTCATTCCTCAAGTGTTGGCTGAGAGAGGCTTTCCCTTGTTGCACAGCCATCCTAATTGTGCCTCATTGTTTTCTTCCCATAATGCATCAAATTTTATTATTATTCAGCCATCTCCCAACCTCCTTCCCATATACTCAAGGGGGGAAATCATGTTTGTTTATATCTCAAAACTAGAACATAGTGGGTATTTCAATAATAATTTAATGAATGACTAAATAAAATCAACCCCATTTATTATATAACTATGCATTTAAAAGTATAATAACTCTTCCTTATAGTTTTTAACCACTGTAAGATCTCTTTTAAGTGAGTGGGTAGAGAGTAGATATTTCTACTCTTTAGAAATAGAAAACATACAACTTTCAAAATACAACTTTCAAAATCAAATCTCTCAAGGTAATAGACACTATCGTTCTGTTCACAGTCTAATGCTTTTATCAGTAGTTGTAAAGGTCTTCCAGAAACACAAAAAAAGGAAATGTTCAGGTGGTTTAGAGAATCTCTATAAAAGAGTAACCTAAAAGCCACTAGGTCATGAATTTACAAAGTAAAACATAAATGACTATTAGAAAAAGCATATTTTAAGAAGATGCTTAGTCTTTCCTAGACAGGACAGTTCTAGCATATAAATCATATTATTGAAGAAATTTGAATACCTTCAATATTTTCTATCTTCTATGAATATCCTACTTAGGGGGTTCTCTGTTGTTATTGTGTTTCAGCAGATAATGGCTGTAACTTAGTAATTAGACATCAAAAGTGTCACAGAAGCAGAAAACCAGAATCATATCTCAAAATTAAAAAGTCACTTTAAAATCTAAGTAAAATCTTTATAGATACAAGAAAATAATCAGCAGCAAATAAGTTGCCATGTATGGTCTTGGGTGACTAATTTTTTTTTTTATTCTCCCAC